AAAAAGTTTTCTTTGGACAATCACTAGAAAATTTCTACTTTCACATCTATAGTAATTTATATATAGAACCACGTCACATTTCCTATGATCATTCTTCAGTTGACTGGAGAATCATCAATTAAAATATACACATTGTCCTATATACAATGAAAAATTTCTGTCCATAGTGCTTGTTGTAGGAGAATGCCGTTGTTGCTATAGTGAAAAAACTTTACTCAAAAAATTTTCATCAGAAAATGATATGGATCCAGATAAGGTATCTAAAGAACTTCAAGGACTTACTAAAATTGAAGAAATGTTGATTGCACAAGTTTTTTCTGTGATGATAGTTTACAGACTTCATGGAGGACAATATAGATATAGTAGAAATGTCATCAATTTCTCCTAAGATATAGAAGAATTTACTATGCACCTTCCCCAGAATCCAATGTACTTATTATATACCAACAATCTGAAAGAGATCTAGTAGCATTTAGAGACTTCAAAGTTCATCGAGATAAAGTTACTCATGTATTATATTGGTTAAAAGCAAACAATTCTTATTATTCTGAAATTGTTATTAACAATGAAACTCTTCAATCTCTACCAGAGGATGGTTTTATTAATGGTTAACTTCAGAACAATCAAAAGATTAATAATAAAATTGTTGAAGAGAATGAAGATAACACAGTTACACACACTTTCATACCTTCTCTTCCTACAGATAATTGAGAAGATATTGCTATAAATAATATACTTAACTGCATGCTAAATAATAGTGATGCTATAGCATAGCCACGAATTGATAACACTCCTATTAATGAATTTAAGACTCTAGGTTATATTGCATATACATTTCTAACTCTCTACCCAACTGGTTGTGCGAATCTTTATACAGAATGTATTAAAGATGTGAAACCAGCAGAGTACTTTAAGCATTTATTACATTATAAAGATGAAAGGTTTGCTTATCATAATCACTGAAGATATTTTACAGTCAATTCTCAAATGAGATAGCAAGCATTGCAGGAAGGAAGAGTATATGTTAGACAGAGTTTTAATAATAATCAGCTTATAGTTACAGAAATTCATGAATTAATTGCTAGTAGTGATATATATATAGCTGACCAGGTCATGAGATTTGGTGAAGGTTTGTGTAGATCAAAACAATTTTGGAATACAAGATGTTGTGAATTATCTGATATAATTAAACAGTTAGATTCGCAAGAGCTAATATTTTTCACATTTAGTGCTACTGATTTGCACTGTCCTAAACTTCATAAATTTATGCCATCTGATGAAAATTACAATCAGAATATTGTTGAAAATCCTCATATTGCAACTTGGTTTTTTAATAAATGATTTGAAATCTTTTTTAATGATGTACTTATAAAAAAATAAATTCTGGAAGATTGGTGGTATAGATTTGAATATCAACATCGTGGTAGTATTCATATACATAGAATTGGAAAAATTAAAGATGCATCTAAAATTGAGTGGAACAATTAAAAAATTATAAGAACTTATTAAAAGAAGTAATCAAATATATTGAATTGCTAGTTACTACGATTAATCCA